GAACGCCCCACGCTAATTCCTTATACTGGGAAGCGCTAACCAGTTCTTACGAAGTACCAGTTTTTAAGTCTTTGATTTGACTTACGGCTTTAACTTAAATAAAGAAAAAAAAAACACAAATAATTTTGGTTCCACGAATTTCAAATAAGCCAAAGATTCTAATTTAGTGTAGAAATCATTACATGTATCATTTACAATGGCAAAGTAATATTCAGAATCAAATTTAACATTATCATTATACGCTATGTACATTGTCTATTTAGACTGAATTTGGAAAGAGGCAAACTATTTTAATTCATTGCATATATAGTGACAAAGTAATATTTACAATCATATTTTATATAATCATCATACGCTATGTACATGGTCAATTGTGACATACAGAAGACATGTTACCACTATAGGCTTCACTGTATTTTAGCCCTTTTTGAAGATACAGTTTTGTCACTCTTAATGCGTTTTCTCTGACCAGGCTTACGTGCACATGCACTTGTTTTAGGAATCGTCAGTCCACCATCTGTTGAAGTGGTGGACTCTTGATTTTTGTTAGTCCTATTTCCATAAGCCAAGAACTTTTGCAGTGAAAATGCCTTTTCCTTTTCTGATTTAGTTTGTTAGAGAGATTTTGTACATTGCAAATGGCTAGCTGAAGAGCTTAGCTCAAAGTCACCATGACCATAAAACGACCCATATACAAGACTTTCTTGTAACTTTATTTCTTTGTGAATTTTGTTTATCAACTCTGGCAGTTTTTCCGGTTTCCAATCTTGATTGAGTTTCAAGATATGGTTAATATCAATAACAGATATATTATGACTAGTTTTGACAAGCGGACAAAATGATCTGGAGTCCATATCTGATTTCGCCCATGACCAGAACTGGTCCATAATATTAAAATTGGATCGTTTGAATATATGTGCAATGGTTCAAATATGGTGTTTAAAATACCAACTGTTTTAAGCACAAACATTTAAAAAGCATAAATACATTCAATGAATTAAGCACTGGCATTTAAAAAGCTGCAATGGATACTATATTAATTCAAAAAAGAAAAGAGGAGGTAGAAATTTGTATGTGACACTAGTTGGCATAACACTGTCTTCAGGTCCATGCAGTAGCCTTTTTTTGGGGAAATTCGCATTCCGACGCATTTCAGTTGAAACCATTCTTAGTTTTTTCTTGATATTTTTTGATTTTTTCATCCTACAATTTTAATGTGGCGAACCTTGCTCCAACTTGCGCTGAGGGTAGATTTTATTGCGTTAGAATGCATCTTGCTTTTTACAGCCAGCTTTGAGAGTTGAAACCAGATACAAGTGGGGTCATCCCAATAGTCCGACACTCATTGGTCCGACACTCAATAGTCCGACACTTGCAGTGCGACACTATTTCCGACTTTCGTTAATCGTAGAGTGAATCTGTGAATGAGAACATCGAAATTATTGTTTTTAATGGAATTTCGCCTCTACAAACAGTGCAAGTCCGTTTGGTGTGCTTTACCTTTCTTTTTGTTGGCGGTTGCATTTGGTTGCCTATTCAATATAATATGATAAATGCATGTACTGCATTTCAAGTTCTATAATTACAAATAAATATCTTAGGCCAATTAAAATTAATTGATAGATTTTCATCCCCGCCCGCCCCTCTCAAATTGTTCCGCCCCAATTTTTTTTATTTTGAAAAATTTACGATTTCCGGATTTTGTTCATTTTCGTTACCGGTAACTGTCGATAATTTCGTTTCATTAATAACATCCTGTTTCAAATTTTGGTTTTTGCATTTCTTTGTATGTTTGATTCGTTATACATGTATGTACATGATAGAACCTTATTATTACACTTGCATATATGAAGAACACGTCACAAGAGCGTTTCATATTTAATAAAAAATAAAAAATAAAATCCTCCCACCCACCCCATTTTTTTCAAAAATTTGGATGAAAATCTACTAATTAAATTTACTTGGCCTTATGGGCTAATTTTAATTTATCATAACTAGTAGGTTAACTTTATTTGTTGTATGGAATGATTGTCAGATATATAATTATATTGGCACTGGCTACGGTTACTTCCAAAAACGACCAGAAAGTAACAATAAGAAATAATTATTGTTACTTCCGAAACTAATTGCCAAAATGTAATTCCGGACAAGGCGCTGATTTCACACGGAATTTGGAAGTAACAATAATTTATTTATTATTGTTACTCGCAGTTATTGTTACTTTCAAAATATATTCAGGTGTGCATTGATTTATATTATAACTGTTTTATTTGCAATCAAACAAAATAAATACATTCCTATACGCTGTTATAACTAAACAACACATTTTATATATAACTAAACAACAAATTGATATCAATAGAAATTTTTATTCAAGGTAACACATTTACATATGGCGTATCTATTTATTATTGTAACACTTCCTGCACAACCGGCAAGTAGTCTTTGGTGGTGTTTTCAGACCAGCATTTAAGATGGTACCATTCCAGACAACCATCACACACTATTGATTCGTAAATATGTACGTCGTAAGTACAACCTGGACCAACCGAATATGCTTGCATTGGACTTTCATTATATTAATATAAATAAGTAGATGTGGCATTTGGCCAATGAGACTACTCTCCATCCAAGTCAAAATGTATATAAAGTTGACAATTATATGTCAAAGTACGGCCTTTAACACAGAGCCGTAGCTCAATAAGTATGTTTGTTGACCCCCCCCCCCCCCTATTTCTATTTTCTATTTTTGTTTTTCATTTTTTCTTTGTTTTGGACGGTGCTCCTATTTTAACAGAACTTCTTCTGTACAGCTGCGCGTAATTTGCGTTTTGGAATGCATCAAGTTTGTCATTAAATTCTTTAATAGATTTATTTTTTCTCCGACTAAAAAATTGACATGTTGGACTTTCGTAGCCATACTTAGAATATGTATGTATGTATGTATGTATACATACATTATGTATGTATGTATACATACATTATGTATGTATGTATACATACATTATGTATGTATGTATATATATAGTGAGTTGTTTTAATTGACCCATATGGCAAAAGTGAACGTCAATATAGATCTTGAAGTTTAATAAGATCAAAAGTTTTTAAAATCATGTAATTTGATTGTTAAAAATTGATTCCACAGTTTGATCGCAAATTATTTTATTTAATTTGCAGGTTTTAAATTATTTCACGTCTTTAAATATATTTTGGAAGTAACAATAACTGCGAGTAACAATAAGAAATAAATTATTGTTACTTCCAAAATTCCGTGTGAAATCAGCGCCTTGTCCGGGATTACATTTTGGCAATTAGTCACGGAAGTAACAATAAGAAATAATTATTGTTACTTCCTGGAAGTAACCGTAGCCAGTGCCAATTATATTTGTCTAGCAGGATCCTTCTGACCTTGACCTTATTTGAATGGTTCATTGGTCAATGTTAAATTCTTTGAGTTTGTCTTTTTTTTCGGATACTCTAAAGAAAGTAGAACTATATTTGTAAGGTGGGTATGTTTGTCTGGCAGTTGACCTTGACCTAATTCTCATGGTTCATTGGTCAAAGTTCATTTTTTTTAATGAGGTTTGTTTCTGAGATACTTTTAGCAAAAGGTTAACTTAATTTGGTGTATGGAATGATTGTAAGGCCTACAAGTTTGTATGAAAGGGTTTATCTCACCCTGACATCATGTACATTAATCATTTAAATGTTAATTTAATGTTATAAGACATGTCAGATTGTTTACTCTTGATTTTCAGGGTAGTGTATGCTAAAAGTTGAAGTCACATCAAGAAACTCAGTACACATGTTCATTAAAATCAATGTGATCTTTCTGATTTGTGTGCAAAAAGTAAAAATAACCATACTACCGAACTCCAAGGAAAATTATAACTGGAAGGTCATTAATTAAATGGCAAAATAGACTCAAACACAGAAAACGAATGGAAAGTAGTTAACTGTCGTATTCCTGACTTGGAACAGGCTTTTTTTATGTAGACAATGGTGTATCAACCCCTGTTTTTTCAGCTATCTTAACCTCTCACTTGTATGACAGTCGTAAAGCATTCCATATATTGAAAACAATGCGTGATAAAAAAAACCAGACATAATAGGTAATAATGTCAAGAATTGGGGTACATCAGTCAACATAGTGAATTTAAGGTTCTGACCTTATTTTATGGTCCACTGAACAAGGACAATGATCAAGTTTTCGGACCAAAGAGTGTCGGACTATTGAGTGTCGGACCATTGAGTGTCGGACTTATGAGTGTCGGACCAATGAGTGTCAGGTATGTCGGACTATCCATGTTATCCAAGTAGTTGCCGTTCATCGAGATCCTTTTCTGGTAAATTGTTTATATCTATTGATGTAAGCTCCCTTTCGATTTTCCCTAATGGCTATAAACAATATAAACAAAAGAAAACCTGGTTGAACTTATTTTATGTGAAAATAAACACACATTTGTTCTTAAAGTCATATAAAATGAGTTGTAGAAAAAAAAGTTGAACATGTTTTTTTAACTTAAAAGTAATTTTATAGTATAAGACTTTTATTCCTATGCTTGTTTTAGTTAAAACTCTTATGTTTCAATGTAAGACTTCATGAAATGTACGTCTTCTTAATTATTTACTTCCAGCAAGTAATTGTTCCGAGATTCACTGAATGCTTTTCCGTATGCATTATTTCCCTCGTAAACAATGTGAAAGCCATTACTGTGCAAGTTTAAAGAAACTCAGGAATATGAGAGTTATCAGGTGGTCCATTTCTATGTTTTTGAGCGTCTGGTTTTGACTGTTTTTTTATAAGAACTATTTTTCTTTTGGTTTGTCTTCTTTAGTTTTCCTATTTATCTGTTGATTATTTTTCATTACATTTCTCCTATTAACAATTCCACAATTACTAGTAACTAATATATGAATAAAATAAAGACAAATAGTATTTAGTTGTTTCTAATTATTTATTAAAATAATAAACATAAAACAATGTAAAAGACGTGATACATAATACAACAGGATGCTGTTACGAATTCTCCCAAACAAAGCACCCTGTAATAACATCATTACTAAACTATAGGTACTGTGATCAGAGCTCACAAAATTATACCCCTGCATCTTGCAAAGTTCATATTGTGGTATTGGAAACCTCAAAAATCAATTGGACCAAAAACCAAATAGAAGTGCACAAAGACATTATAAGAATAAAAATCTCAGAAAGTTTCATTAATTTATGATTAATGGTTTAGGAGGAGTTGCAAATACAAAATCAGTACCCAAATTATAAGGCAATGGCAAATTCCATGTTCTTAAAATACAAACTAAAAAAAAGGAACAAACACAAAATAGGAGGTGCACAATGGCATTATATCATAAAGAATCTGAGAAAGTTTCATTAAATTATAAGGAGTGGTTTTGGAGGAGTTGCAGAAACAACATAGGTACCCCCTATTTTAAGGCAATGGCAAAGTCCATTTTTTTTTCAAATAAAATCCCCAATGTTTAATGTTCCAATAATTACATAAAATGAAAAAAAAACAGGGGTCGGTTTTCCATGAAGGGGGTGAGGGTCAATTTCCCTTGGCAAGGGGGTTAATTTACCATAGCAGTATTTTGACACCAGCATCAATTTATCATGGGCTTTAAAAAACATGACATCTGCTTTTCACTAGTAGTACAGTATAATGACTAAATGGAGCATATTTTTTCATCATAGCTGAATTCGAACAGTATCAACATCATTAAAAACAAATATTTGTCTTTTATTCAATTCAATAAACAGACATCTTTGAAATCCCTATCCCATGCAGCATGGTAAAAAGTTTATATCTCAATATAAATTATTTTAAAAACCAGAATTGACACATATATCATGCAAGGAAAAATAAATTTAAAGATGCATTAATTACCATGATAACCATGAATGAATATCTTGACATTTATTGTGCCCATGATATTAGTATCCACAAATTCTTAATGTTCACAAATCAGCTAAAATTAAAACAGAACAAGGAATAAATAATATAACTTCATCTATCAACAAAAAAAGTAATCTCTAGCATTACTAAAACAACAATATATACATAACATTAAAATGACAAGACTACATTTCTTATTTCATTACCTCCACCTTAACTTAGTATAATTATAAAGTTTAATCTCTATCAATAAATCAACAATTTAATTTCAATCAACAATTGTCTTTAATAGAACTAGTGGAAGGGGTTGAAAATTTTTTAAATGTAATTTTTTTTATCTTATAATTTGTTAAATCTTCCAAGAACATATTTTAATTGTCTTTATATATATGGATGTGTATAAATAGAAATATATATCCATTCTTCAAAAGTTTTTGCATGATCATGATTCTCAGAAGTTACATCATAACAAATAAAATATCTTTAAATGATTCTTTTTTAAATTGAATATTTAAATGTAAATCCTTCATTCTGGCTGTACGCTAACAGTATGATGACTATGACACTGCTTATTCAATAAAAAAAAAAAAAGACAATTTGGAGCATAATTGCTTCATCATGGCTGAATGCTAACAGTATGAAGATCATTAGAGCCAATATTTATCATTTGACAATTCCTTCTTAACAAACTGTTATAAACAGACATTTTTTGCTATTACTAGCTAAAATGGGGAGAAATTCAAATAAGTCTGCCGACATTTCATCTTGAGTTCTTCAAATGAAATAATGATTTTCTGGATGACAACCATATAATTTATATACGTACATATGAAATCTTTATATCCTATTATACAAAAGTTCAATGTAAAAAAAAACTTCAATGTTTACATGCAAGTCCTAGGCTTTAAAGTATATCCCTTACATTAACTAAGTGCATACCAACAATGGTAATAAAGACAATCATTCAAATAATTTGCTATATAAAAGTGTTATTTGATAAATATTTAGTATCCAACAATAATCTCAAAGACATTTTACAAAAAAAATAAATCTATCTTAGATTCTAGAAAAATAGTTGGGGAGTTCTATACACTTTATTTTAATCAATTACGTACACTGCTTACAATGTAAAGATTATAATATGTTCATATTCATTTCTATTTCAATCCAATAAGTAAATTTAAGAGCCTAATTACTTCATACCAGCTGCACGCTATAAGTATGAAGACCATTACAAGCCTTTATATGAAGTTTTTTCAAATATCTATGACATAAAGTATTTTCAAATCCTCTTTTGTATTTATGTATATCCATTATAAATTAATTTCAATTGATTCCAAGAAGAAATATATAAAATATATAAAAGCTATTGTATCCTCCTTTCAGTGGAAGAACCATTAAAAACCAGTAATATTGCATAAGTTAAAGATGAATGCAATAAATTCTCAGCATATGTTCACATTGCATATAGAAGTCATCATCAATCCTTCCTCTTTCTTTTTCTTTCCTTTGTCTTAATCTTGAAAAAGAAATTAAGTAAATTTTTATCTCACAAGATCTGTATCTCAGAAGATCATTGATAAACCAAAAACTTAAAACAGGCAAAGGAACAGACCTTTTACTGTTGATCCTCATCACAAAAAAAAATTGATTTTAAATTATTCATTTGGTTGAATTTCGATTGTAACAACTTAATTATGAATTTGTGTTAGTTTAAAAAAGTCTCTTTTTGATTTGAAATGTAAACATCTACAACATTTTGTCAAATGTGTCCACAGTACACTGATGTCCAGCTTGCACTATCACTTTTCATGATCAGTGAATCATGACATTGGGATCAAAGGCCTAATTTGGCATACAATTTCAAAACATTATACCATAATGAACATGTGTATAAAGTTTAAAGTTGATATGACTTCAACTACATCATAAGCTTCTGTTACCAAAAACTTTAACCTAAGAATGAACTGTTTTAACACTATCACATTTATATGTTCAGTGAACTCTAAAATTGGGGTCAAAACACTAATTTAGCATACAATTTAGAAAGACATCATCAAAAGGATCGTACTTATTACTAAGTTTCAAGTTGAATACTTCTTCACTATCTTGACCAAAAACTTTAACCTGGTCTGATACAGACATTCAAAAGGACAGATGGACACACAAACCAAAAAACATTATGCTCCTTTTCTATATATCTGTCCTGGGCATAAAGTAGAAAATAAGTAATTAGGAAAGCATTTCCAATGAACATGATATGAATTTGGTTTGACCAAAACAATAGCTTCACCAGTGTTACAATATTGTCTAGAAACAGAACCTTGGATTAATTTAATTTTAGGAAGTCAATGCAAAGGACATACTTCTCTTGCTAAGCCTTCATTTTCCAACATTTCAGAAATGCATGTAGGTTCAGCATCTGCTGTTGGCACTAGCTGTTTTGGTATATCTTGAATCTTGTGAATTTTCTGTAAGTGTGTCAATGGCCATCTGGTTATTTTGGGAGTGGTCTTAGTTGGATTGTTAAGAAATTCCATCCACCATGTATATTTTTGGAAATTAAAAAAGTTCTTCATCTTTACAATGGCATTTCTGACCATTTCAATTCTGCTATCATCATATTGCTGTTTGCATATTTGAGGTATACCTATTCAATAGAAATTATATTAATTTAATTGCTTGATATTAACATGATTAAACAATGTTCCTATCTTCCAAGATATCCTTTTTGTATTAAAATAATTAATGTTCCTATATTCCAAGATTTCCTTTTTGTTTTCCAGCAAAATGCGTTGTTAAAATTGTAGAAAGTGATATAACTAAACTAAATATATATCCAAGAATCTCCAAATATCCAATTATGAATTTTAAGTATTCCAATTAATCCATTAAGTGAAAGATATTGATAACACTGCCGGTCCTCCTTATATAGGGTTTGGGCATCATGCATGACTGCCCACTATTTGTTCATATAAAATCTACTACACAGTAAAAATAGATGATTGACAGCTTGTTGACAACATACTTTTTTATTTATTGAAAGTTATTCATAGATTGATCAATGATGTTGTAATAATAGACTATGAGTTTTCAATAGAATATTATTATGAAACATACTGAATTTAATATATCATATGATATACATCACAAATACATAACATATCAAATAAGGATGATTGACAAACTCATAATTTAGTTTCTAGGAGTTATAAATTCTAATGAAAGCCTGGTTGGTCAATACTTTGCCAACCCTGTGGGTGATACCTTTCATCGTCAGTTTTTATCTTGGGGCCATAACACACTACATGATTTATAAGGCATGAAGATGGAATATAACAGATCTCATATTATTATGTAGTTGACAAACTGTGACAGAGATTACAGACACTGCATTCACTACATTTCTGTTTTCCAATAAACTGACCCACAACGCTCACAGTGCTTGCATTACACGTTTTGCATCATTTCTGTCTCTTTTTTTATGAAGTTAGCGGTTGCAAGAACTAATATCTTGATAAAATGTTTTTGAAGAAATAAAGATAAAAAAGTTAAAGTTGGCACTCAAAACTAGGGCAGGGTTGGGAAACCCTTAACACAGGTACTTTTTTTTTGGGGGGGGGGGGGGGGTGAAGATTATGAATATAAATGCTGTCATGCTATTTAAAATCAATATCCAAAGCTATATATGGTAGAAAAAAAATGGACATCCTTTATTTTCAATAAACAGCCTTGATTTAAACTTACCCTGAGGAATGGTGTTATCTCCTGTTATATCTAAGTCAAACAATTCTATTTGGTTTTGGTCAGTCTCAGGCAACCAAGAATCAGTTGAAAACTTCCTGTATTTCATAGTAACATGGTTAGGACGGTCACAAAAGAGCCTAAAGAACGAAAAAAGTAATTATACGCTCGCCATGAGTGAAAAGAAAGTATAGTGATCTATCTTAAGTGGGTCTCTTGTGAAGAGTTGTCTCATTGGCAATTACACCACATCTTCTTTTTTATATTTGACAAAAACAAAAATTCCTCCTTTGTCTATAAAATTCACTTCTGTAAAGATTAGGCACAACAAATATATTTTAGTATTGACTTTTTCAGAGTAAAAATTTGTAAGGGTTCAACGGAACCCAGTGGCCTACTTTTTGTTGTCTTTGTTTTCAGTGTAATAATAAATGTACATAAATTGCTTATATTTCTGATATTTTTTATCTTTAAAAACCTTTCAGCTTACTGACTGTATGCAAACTTTATCTGACAAAAAACTCAGACCATTTATCAGTAAAATACAGAACTATTAAAATAATTAAGTTTCAAAAATGTTCTCTACATGCTATTAATGGATCATAAAGATACTTCTGTCCAAGTCTGGTAAAATCAAGGATTGTTTATGATGGTAATTAATGTTTTAAAAACTGCTGACTATATGTTATGTTAACTGAAAGAAAAACTAAGTTCATTTAAAAACATTGAAATATTTATAACCTTATATTTTACCTTTGATTATTATTTATAAGTAATATACAGAAAAACAGGAAATATTTTTTTACAAATGAGGTAAAAATGTATATTTCCTGTCATACAGACAGACTTATGGACAGATGGTCAAAAACATTATACCCTTCAAAACTGAATTGTGTGGAATAACCTTACTAGTTGTCTAATTGCATGATTTAATAATGTAAGGTTGTTGATAATGCATATATAGTTTAACATGAGAATAAAACATTCATAAAATAAATACTGCTTTTACTTCTGACGCCCTATAATGTAACTAAAAAAATAATTGTTATTCAAAAATAAATAAAATTTTCCTTCGCCTAGTGCAGCTGAATACAACAGCAGAGGTCCAACCCCGAACAGTTGGGGCAAAGATGGACACAATATTCAAGCTTGATAAAGGTCTGAATTTGGATTATAATTAAATATTTGACACATAATAGGTTTCTGACACAGAATAAATGTAGTCAAAGAACTTGAAATTGGTTAAATGATTTGATTTTCAATTGAAGATTTCTTGCCCAAATAATTGTAAAAAAAAATAAATTAAAAAAAAAAAAATAAAAATTTGCCCCTATTCCCAAATAATTGCCCCCCCCCCCCCCCCCATTTTTTTCAAATTTCATAAATCTTGAAGAAAAAAATTTGCCTCCCCCAACAAAATATATTTGAAGAAATTTGAAAAAATGCTTCTTTATGGCCCCTAATTCCTGAACGGTTTGGGCAATTACCCCCCAAAATAAATCCCAACCTTTTACTTGGGGTATTGAACCTTGTGGTACAATTCAGAGCAATCCAAAAACTTGTACACAAATTAATTTTCCTGAAACTAGAAAAATGTGTGTTTTGGACCAATATTTTGCCCCTAATTCCTAAACCGTTTGGACCATCAACCCAAAAACAATCCCAACCTTTCTTTTGAGGTATTGAACCTTTTGACTAAATTTCCCTTAAACTAAAGTTATTGTTATGAAATTAAACTGTCTACAGACGCTGACGACGCTGACAGTGCTAATGACAACAACAGCGTGATAGCAATATATGAGCGCAATTTTTTTGCAAGTGTATAAAAATTGTTGGACATAAGCAAATGTTAATCTTGTTAGAGTTACCTTCTCACTATTTATAAAAGATGCCCAATGCTTTATTAACTATGTATACATACCAAAACTGATGTTGGAAGGAATGGAATGACATCTCACAAAGAGAATTTTCTAACCACGATTTGACATCTCGTACACATGATAACACCTCATGGTGTGGTTTATCATGAAAACTTGATTCTATTTCTTTTTGTAACTGAGGAACTGTCATGGCATTAACCCGTCTTAATCTATGTGAAATTACTGAAAAACGTTGGTCAATATCCTCATGTGTATGTCCCTTCAGAAGGAAAGACAGATAGGCCTAAATGTAAAACACAAAAAAAAATAATTGAAATAAAAGAAGAACTAAGACATATTTTACATTTATGGAAGAAGTAGATGTTTGTCTATGGACAGCAACCGAGCAACAAATAATCAAAATACCCATACAATTCTTCTCCTGACATGTATATGACTAACTCCATAAACATAACGGGGCCAAATGTACAAATTTTGCAATTTAAATTAAACAAGAACAATAGCTGTCACAATCACAGTAAACCAGATTTTTTAACGTTTATTTGTGTCCTGGCATTTATCAATATCACAAAGACCAAACTCCTGAATGGTAAAAGTCACAATCATCAATATCAAACTTGACCTCCATTTTGTCATCAAGAACACCATATGAAAATATGAAAAGCTTTGGTTGAATTGTTCATGAGTCATGATGAGTCAATTGTCATTATTGCACTTGACCTCCATTTTTGTCGTCAGTAACAACATGTTAAAATTTGAAAAGCTTTGGTTGGACATTTCTAGGTAAATGCACGGACAACATTTGGCTCCCCCAGCCTTACATCACCAAATTAATAACCGATTTTTCATATGGAAATCCGGTTAAAAATGTGTTCAAAGTACACAGATGCCCCACTCACACGATTATTTTCAATGTTCAGTAAACCATGATATGGGGTCGGTCCCAACCCTAATAATTTGACATAAATACAGTGGAACAGTGTATTTAGTGGCCACTCACAGGAGTGTTAAAAGTGACTGCTGAAGAGAGGAGGAGTCCTTTTAAAAAGAGGTTCTGAAAAATTTGATTGTTTTATCGAAGTGACCGTTAAGGCAGGTTTGACTGTACAGAAAGATCTTATCATATGAACCTACATAAGTACCTCTTTAATATATCCACTCAAGCAAAGGTAACCAAGGAATCCTATAACATACTTGTTTTTATTTTCTCTTCCACAATTGTCACATTGTACATATAGTTTTGGAGGTAGCACTTTTGTATTACTGGTTATAGCATTAACAAGGCATGTAATAGTTAAGTTAGGATCATGTGGCCATTGTAGTAAATCTGTATATAGATAGAGTTGACTGCCATGAACCAAACATCCAGTGATATGGGTTTTTAAAGCTGCTGCTCCACACTTTAAAAAAAATGTTTGCATTAGTGCTTGTGTATGATGAATTTCTGTAATTTGTGAACATTATCATGAAAAAAATATAAATAAATGACTTAAAGGCAGATTCCTCATTCGAAAAAATGATCAGAAAATGATTTATATATTTTATTTTACAATTATTCATAAAAATAATATGTAGGATAAAATTTTGCATAGTATTATAACTTCTGTATTCACTATCGGCTGTTTTCAAACTAGCTTCACTCATTTCATTGCTTTTCTAGTAATTCTTAATATAAAATGTCATAGTGAAAGTTTGCTGCATCTTTAATTTTATACCAAATTATAAGATTTTTCAGGCTTCAACTTTATGCCATTAAATACCCAGGGCTTCCATTAGTTTTATAATTATAATCTAAGAAGCCAACAATATATGAACAAGGAAAACAAATATTCATAGTCATCTTTCATTTTACTATGCTGACACAGATAATGTACAGTCCGTAGACAAAAGTATTCACACGACACCGTTACCAGCATTGCAATCTTGAAAAGCAGTATATTTTCCAGGCTGTCTATAATTATGATTACAAATCCTATCTACACACAAGTAGAATATATAAATGTGAAGGACAAACAGAATTACGTAAACATTAGAAAAAAATGTCTTCTATTTTTTAAATGTTTTATTTTTCTATCATAATCTAGGGTAGGAAATCACAAAAAAATATCAGTATGGTGTAAAAAAAAACATCATTACTCTTGTAATTTTGCGTAATGGTAATAGACACATACTTATAAATAACCCATGACCCATTTTCAATAATTCCTACTGCCCCCTCCCCTCCCCACATCATTTTTAATGGAATAGCCCTAACAGTGTTTGGAATAATTTTTCCGCCTGTAAAACCGTAGAAAGCAAAAAACGAAGCAGGAGGAGAAAGTCCCTAGATAAAGTGTGGTGCATAGGCTTGTTTGCTAGATGAAGGAGGACAGATAAAAAGACATTTACTAAAGTAACACAGGATTTTATTAACAATTAAAACAACGTTATAGTTTCAAAAAAGACTGTTTGAAGGAGTTTAAAAAAGTGTGGGTACAGACTATGTGTTCACCTTGTGATTTTTGATATTTGGACCGCCTTAACTGTTAAGCACATCCAAAGCTTATACCAGTCCATTCCAAGAAGAATAAAAAATGTAAAGCAAGCTTGGGGTTACATCACAAAATATTAAAGTAGGAAAATACAATACAAAACTAGACTAAACCGGGACATTTACACGTATGCGTGTTACGTAATGTATTTTCAACTACAGAAATAAAAATTCAGCTTTTATTATTTTTCAAATCTTTAATTTTTGGTTTGCATTTATTAAAAGATTATCAAGTCGAAAAGTATTCCTCATAAGGAATTTAGTCATTTGTCTGAATTCATTGATTGAAATATCTACCTGTCGTTTGTTAATAGGCAACGCAGGTAACAGTGATGATCACTGATTATCGATGATTAAATTAGTAATTAGCTATGCCCTAGAGAAATACCATTTAATACTAAGTGTCATGTTTATGACCGGAAAGCATTACAATTAGAAGTTACTGATTATTAACCAAAAACTTGAAATTTTAGACAATAACACAAAATGATCGTAATTGTTTCTTTTAAAAAATATAATTTTACCTAAATCCCAATCTGAAGTTTAGGTCATTGACCTTTCATTTTCGGACATGTCCGACAATTATGACCGTTTCCAAACCCTTGATGCTTACTCAACTCAAATCCTAGTACACTAAGAATGAAAAAAGTACTATCATATACCTTTGGTCTTGTCCATCCCTTGAAGTGTGGAATGTTAGTCTTTGACTGATCCATTTGGCTTCATAATTGCTTCATCCTTCTTTTTGTAGTAGTCTCTTCTTTCACTTCTATAAAACAAGTAAGTAAAAAAAAAGACCTTTAACCTTTCTTCTGATAATTATTTGGTCTTTCCACTTTTCTGTGATGTACAAAGCACTATTTTCCTTTCTTAGTTTCAAGTAAAATGCAGAGAAACAATATATGTTGGGGAACATATCAAATTAATCATCTTTTACCCCTTTAATTCTTTTGTTGTTAATATTTCTATTTCTATTTTTATTATCATTTATCCTCAATCTTAAGTTTAAAGACCTTCAATTGTTTTCTGAACAATTGGTTCTATCATATTTTCTTGCAATTACAGTTTCTGAAACAAGATCAAAAAGCAACTGTATTAATTTAAATAGGAAAGCATTTTTGCCTTTTTCTCATAGCTGAAGTACTTGTTTTGGTACTTCCTGAGTTCCAGGAACCAGAACACATCGAAAGTATGTTGATTTTTTCAGCACAGGCCACAATAAGGTATTTCTTGATGATTTTAACATAGTGGCCATTAATTAATGGTTTGCCTCCTACAGGGCTAAAATGACCATTTAATGTTTCTATATCCTTAGGTGCAAATTCAGCAATAAGGAAAGTCAGTCTATCAAACTCTTACAATTATTGACTTTCTAATGATTTGAAAAAATACTGTCAAGCAAACATAAATTAAACAATCAAAAGTAATGTGAATTATATATAAGTTTTGGTTCAAGGGTTACAAGTTCAATGTTCAGTTGAATAGCATACCTTTGTCTATCAAGATGAACTTTTAAATCTTTTTTCAACTGATCTTTTTTCACAGCATCTTTCAATTTAAGCATCTCCATTTTAACCTTCATGCAAATGTCACAGGGGTTAATATTTTTTGTCTAAAAAGATCATAAGTATAAATTATCAGATTATTTAAACATAAAACTGTTCAATGTGAGAATATATATATATCAAAACAAGAAAATCGCACAAAGTTCACTGATACTTAACTTGCACTATTATTTCCAATGTACTGTGAAATCAGGGTCAAAATATTCTAATTAAATATATTTCATTTTTTCAAATGCATGAAATGTCAGCACTGTTCTTTATGAAACAAAATACTTACCTTAACAAAACTAACAATTTTCTCAAAATTTTCTGAAAAAAGTTGATAAAAACGTCTTTCTTTTATGCAAAGTCCAGGTATAGCTATGTACTCATCATACATATACTTAATGTTTATGCAATCTGGCAATAGCACTACATCTCTTTCAGGGCTTGGATCTCCATACTCATCTATAAAATTATCCATGAATGCTACAGCATGAAGACCTTGAAGAAAATAATATACATGAAGCAAAAACATAAAGTAAAAAAATGGCTTACTTACTTAAAATAATACAAAAGCTATATAAAATTAATTCATCATTTAATCTCATTTTTTAATGAATAATTTACAATGGACAATAAATAGAAAGTATGAATCCTTGTAACATATATTTCTCAAACTGAAACTGTGAGTCAACTCACTAAAGGATGCCCCTATTCACATTTTACGTAGAAATTTCAATTATTACCAATGAATGATTGCTTCATGCATATCGAAAGGTAGTGTTGCAACTGTGTAAAGTATATATATCAAGCAGTTAAAGAGGAGTTGCACTTACAAGACATATAGACATACATAGTCACAGCATAAAAGACAAAAAATTAATCAAAACATAAACAAAATTGTGTTAAAGGTGTAAGTTATTAAAATGAAGACATAAATAGCCATACATAATTTTCCAACTTGTGTCACAATAGCCAGGGAAGCCATCATTCCATAGTAACTTCTGTCTTGGCGGCTATCGATAAAAGTGTTATATGCACCTGTCCTAAGTCATGAGCCTTTTTTTAGTGGTTGTTGTTTGTTGGTGGGGTTCATAGGTGTTTCTTCTTTTGTATATATAGTTTAGATTGTTGATTTTCATGTGTGAATTATTTTACACTTGTTATTTTGGGCCCCTTTACAGCTTGTTGTTTCAGTATGAGCCTAGGCTTCCTATTGAAGGTCGTTCTTTAACCTATATTTGCTAACTTTAAATCCATTGTGACTTGAATGTAGTGTTGTCTCATTGGCAATCATACCACATCTTCTTATTCATATTGAAATAACTTATGAAAACCTCTGATATTGTGGTAATGGTTTTTTTCTCACTTTCTCTACCATAACTATGTCTTTCTTCAAAAGTTTAAGTAGCCTGTAGTAAGTGGCAGTACTTATTCCCAGTAGATCAGTCCATTTCCGCCTGTAAAAAAGAAGATTCACCATCTTAAAACATGTAAAAGGTGACATAGAAATTGACTAAACTTCAATATTTTTGGGTTCAACTACAGTTTACCTGTCATATCAAAGTTATCTGGATTAGTATCTGAGATAAATATTATCCTTTAGTGGTGCTATTTTCATCTCAAAGATAATTTTTCCTCCATCCTTTTACTTACTAAAAATACAGCAGGTAAAACTTTCCAAATTAAACCTCTGTTCCAAAATTTAACAATGGCAAAGTCTGTGATTAGCTAAGGGATCATAAAAAGTCAAGAGGCTTATGAGAGACTTAATAGCTAGCTTGCCTGTTAATTTTCATGTAAATCTTGCTATCAGTTTCTACAAAAGGTTTAAAACAAATAAAGAGATATAGTAGCTCTACGAAAATCTTATTTTTTCTAAAAGGGTATTAAAAGGATATTCTAAAAATATGAACGAAAAAATATGTTTCATGTCAAATTTGGTACTCTAAGGAACGTAATTATCATGCGTATTCATTAGATAAGTCTTTATAATGTGAATATGGACAACAAAAATGGATTCTATAAATAACACAAAAACATGTTTTCAAAACGATAATGCTATATCAAGCATCAAAATATCGTCTGATTGTATTTTAAATACAAAACACATTTTATTCTTGATTAAAAAATACACACCTGGCACATATCATAATATTTTGTGTTGTAAAAAATTAAACTAAAAGCAAAAGCTGGAGTTGGTATCATTTCTTACAATGATGGTTGAAAAGCGAAGATCTGATTTTAATCAGAACTTCAATGTAAATCATTTTTTTGTGCTACATTATGAACTTACATACAAATTATTTTTCCATGAAAATTGTGTTTCTTTCCTTTATTTGTACATGTATCATTATAGATGGTATTCCTCATTAAATCAAGCATCTTTGATGATCGTTTTGCTCCTTATCTATAACCTTGTAAATCAGATCTCATATATTGGATTTTATGAATGATATCTTTAACTTGGAATAATTTTTCACTGCACTGTTGTTTACATATACATTGATTTCTTAGGTCTCCCCTGATTTTGAAAAAGTAGGTAAGCTCCTCTGTTAACTGGAATTTCTGTAAATATATGAAAAGAAATCATTCATGATATCGTCCATCCTTTCATCAAACAGTCAAAAGAAGTGCAATCTAAAATGTTTTCATAATTTTTACATGGCAAATTATAATATCACTTAGGGTCTCCTTTATTTTAGTATAATCACGTATTTGTTACAAATACGTAGAGTTTTGTGTATGTAATAACCACAGAATTTCCAACAACTGAATACCAAATATCATTGATTTACCATAAGTGGTTCCCTTTAAACTGACCTAATCCCAAAATTTACTAAATTTGTTGACACCGCTGCATACAATGTCAGAAACAGCAAAAATTGGTTAGCTAAAAATCCAGAATAAAAACATTACCACATAGCACATACTCTTATTTATATTAAAAAATATAAAAACATATTTTTACCATCTTCATAGGACTGCAAACAATAAGATGTTGTATTATCATCATCAGTATCATCACTTTCATCATCTGTATTCTCATCAATGCTATTATTTGTCAATGATACTGAAAAACAAAAATGTACATCCCAAAAGAATTCTATATCTATAATATATCCAAGGTCACTGTGAAATAGTGCATTTTCCATTTATTTGAATGTGTATGATATATATTTAACTTCAGTTGTTGTCTTATAAGTAATAATGCATTTACACACTACTCAGGTTTAGTCATCATGTGACAGTACAAGTCAGAGAGAATAGTTCCAATGTATTTGTGAGAAACTGTGTTTCACGAAAACTCTGATGTGAACAAAAAGGATATTTCTAATTAATCCTAGAAAAGAGCTCTGCTGTGAATAATATATATATAGAATAATATAAATATATAAATGTCTAAGAATATAACTCAATAAATACACAGTATTTCGCAAGACAAACTAATGTAGCTTCATCAGGTGTGTGCATCTAGCATGCCTATACCAGTGAAATCGGGTACATGCTGATAAATACATTTTTGTTACTTATACTTCACTAAGTTTGTAGAAATATTTTCTATTTTAGCCTTAGAGAGGCCACGTTTCTTGATGTACAAGAAAACAAAACACAAAATGTATACTAGTTACCCTAAGGATTATTCAGCCGAATTAACTAATTTGTAGATCTTATTTTTGCTTTACATTTTGCTGTTTACAGTTTATCTTTATCTATAATAATATTCAAGATATTAACAAAAACAAATTGTGCAAAAATCACACCCATATCTTATATAATTATAGGGAACTATATTCATGGACAATAAACATAAGGCTAATTAATTGGGATAAATGAATTAAACATACTGAATGTCAATCAGAAGATAAATACTCTTACCTTTTGATAATCCATCATTTTCCTTTGCTGAATCAGTGTCGTCACTGTCATCAGATTCCAGAAAAGGAGTCAAATCAAATAATTTTCCTGTAAATTTAACAAACAAGAAAATATATTCACACCTCACTAATGCTCCATTTGCATTGTCATTTACCATGAAACAAAGGTCATAACCCTTAGAATAATATAAATATATAAATGTCTAAGAATATAACTTAATAAATACACAGTATTTCGATTGACAAACTAATGTAGCTTCATCAGGTGTGTGCATCTAGCATGTTTATACCAGTGAAATCGGGTACATGCTGATAAATATATTTTTGTAACTTATACCTCACTAAGTTTGTAGAAATGTTAATGAAAGTGCTGACTTGTATACATTGTATATATATATATACATTTCAATATTTATTGGTTTGATTTGTAATTAAATCTGTTCTCATCACTGAGTCCATTAGGGTCAAGAGTCAGTAACTGGTGCATCCAAAATGTCTCTCTCTTTTGTCTTTCTTGTTTGTCCAAATTTTGGTTTTCCTTTATAATTTTGAAAGGTGCCATTTTCTTAAGAGGTGCCTCATAATGTCTTCCTTTTGTATAAATGACAGATGGCTATTCAAAATGTTGAATCATATGTTAAATTGTGTTTCTGTTTCACCAACATACTGCAGCTTGCAGGTTTCTCATGATGAATCATAAATACAATTTTCCGTTTTGCAATTGGATGTTATAAAATGTTATATTTATTTATTATAACCTTGACCTGTTGATAATTTTACTTCAAGTCTGTTTTGCTCTAGCTGCTTAAGTTGTTTAAGGTATAAGCTGAAAACTGCAATTTATCTATTTTCTATTTTAGCCTTATAGAGGCCACGTTTCCCGATGTAAAAGAAAACAAAACATAAAATGTATACTAGTTACCCTAAGGATCATTCAGCCTAAATGACTAATTTGTAGATCTTATTTTTGCTTTACATTTTGCTGTTTACAGTTTATCTTTATCTATAATAATATTCAAGATATTAACAAAAACAAATTCTGCAAAAATCACACCCATATCTGTATATAATTATAGGGAACTTATAAATTAATATATTTATTTCTGTGATTGTATCCTACATTAATTTGTAGGATCCTTTATGATAAATAATTCAGCTGATCTGTAATATACCATCTTCATGCCTTATATTTCATGTACTATAATACGCCATTAAATTAAAACTGACGAGGAAAGGTAACACTAGGCCAACCGAAAGCTAGATTTTAATCTAGCCGAGGTGGCCTAGTGGTTTGATGGGACGGTATTTAGTGCAAGGCGATTTGGTGTCATGATATCACAGTAGCATGAGTTTGAATCCCGGCGAGGGAAGAACAAAAATTTGCGAAAGCAAATTTACAGATCTAACATTGTTGGGCTGTTATTTAGAGTCATTATAATTATAGGGAACTATATTCATAACTATAACAATAAACATAAGGCTAATTAATTGGGATAAATGAATTAAACATACTGAATGTCTATCAGAAGATAAATACTCTTACCTTTTGATAATCCATCATTTTCAACCTTTGCAGAATCAGTGTCGTCACTGTCATCAGATTCCAGAAAAGGAGTCAAATCAAATAATTTTCCTGTAAATTTAACAAACAAGAAACTATATTCACACCTTTTTTTTTTTTGCTGTTTACAGTTTATCTTTATCTATAATAATATTCAAGATATTAACATATGATAAACATATAAACATTCATTCTTTTTCTTTCACAATACCACAATGGAACGAGCTTCCAACAGTTCTCGTCCAATCCAACTCAGTAGACATCTTCAGAGAACAGCTTACTCCTGCTATTCTCTGCACCATTATTTAAACTTAAAATTTCATTGTACATAGTTTTAATCACATAATTTGGTTATTTTTCAATTCACTTCTTTACTTTTTTGTTTAAAATAAAATTTAATTTATGTTTGTCCACGCATGCGAACAGTATATAATCATCGACAATCGATGGTATATTGTATACCAAAAGAAGAAGAAGGCCTCACTGATGCTCCATTTGCATTGTCATTTACCATAAAACAAAGGTCATAACCCTTTTTGGCATAGAATAAGAAAGATCCTCTGAGTTTGTGATGTCACTAGCACTGTCCAATCATTTGTACTGTCTATTGCAACACCAATGTTCATCAGCAAAAGTAGTAAAATAGATAAATATTTTTTCTGTTGTTTAAATTAATGATATCCATACTTATAATGACTGCATGACATTATTGTGTTGATTCTATGAAAACCAATCTGTGTCTGGACTTGCAGACTGCAGCTGTGATTTATAGTTGCCGAGGAAAATGCGACGAAATAAGTGTTACCATGGTTACAGGCTGTATATCGAACTACAGAACATAATTCCCAGAAAAGATATAGAATCAAAATTTCCTAATAATATGCACAATAACAAATGGTGTTCTTGCGACATACCAAATTTTATGAAATTCTATTAGGTAGTTTAAGAGGAGTAGCCATGACAAGCTGATATCTTATTGTGTTACAGAGTAAACCAAATCATAGACCTGATTCTGCCTTTGGTGACACAGGTAAAAAGAATAACATACTGCGGTACAAAAAATGTTTTGCTTTACTACTGAGTTGTAATGAAAACGGGCTACCATATTTACCTCAATTTGAATGTTACAAAGATAAAAACTGTCGATTCATATCTGAGATGTTGGATCATTTCAGAATATAAAGAGCTTAATATAACATATGACTGGTTGTCTTAAAAATTATTCAGTGTACACCTGCATTCCTGTTGTGTCAATACAAAATCTGTGTAACCACTGACAGGTTAATTTGACCCTTGCGAAACCTCAATTCCCCTTTTTAACATTTCTTTAATTTCATTGAATTGCTTTAACAACTTGTGAATCAAAGCTTTTTTCATGTTATAATTGTGAATTTGAACTGTAGTATTTCATAATGCAGAGTTTTCCCTTATTTATTTTATTGTTTTGATAATTGACATATTTATGTTATAAAGTAAAACAATTGCTTAATGTAGAAAATATTATATTTGAATAATTGTTTACCTTGTTTTCGATAGATTTCAAGTTGGTTGACATTTCAAAAAATGTATGTCCTGTGGCAAATATTTAGTATTGTTCAATCATTTAACTTTGAGGAGCAACATCCTGCCATCATAAACATGGTACTGATATTGGACAGAAGATTAATACAAATGGATAAGTGGAACCATAAAGGATGTCTATAAAAATAATTTAAATGATCAAAATGTTGATTTTGAAACATCAGTTCATTAAACTCCTGTTACAGGTTTGTTAGTTTTAATTTGTTTAAGAACATTTTAACTGATACATTTTGTAATTATAGAATTGAAAAAATAAATAAATCGATAAAAAGTTCCAAAAACATAAATAGATGAATACAAATCAGTCTGAGTGCAGATGACATCATCAGGGTCTGACATGTGATCACTATCTTATCAAATCTATAGGTCAGGAAACAAGATGATTACACACTAATAAGTCTATTTTGGGTTTCTTATCATGACAATTTTCTTTGAAATGTGTTTATTTAGTATAACTTATGGTCATGGATAACTAATCAAATTTTTATTTTCGTTTTTAAATAGTGTCAGGTCTCTTTATTTTGTAAAAGTGAATTACAATTAAATAATTCTATTCTAGGATTCAAGAATACCTTTTAAACAATAACAACTGTGTCAGTGAACTTTTAAAATAACAGGTCACATATTCATCAGCACAAAATAATACTAATACATGTAAATACCTTTTGATAGTCCATCACTTTCAATTTTTGCTAAATCTGTGTCATCATCATGATCATTATCATCAGATTCTAGAAAAGGAGTCAAGTCAAATAATTTTCCTGTAAATAGAACAACAAGAGTGGACACACTGAAATGTCTCGCCTGTTCTAGGGTTCATAATATAATTTATGTTGAAAGTATTAAAAAAAAAGCTGTTCATGAGATGAAGGTGAGGTAAAACCTTTCAGAGAGAAATGTAGTTCATACACTCATTCCATAACAAATCTAGTTTACCTATTGCTAAAAGTATCTCTGAATTAACCAAATAAAAAAAATAACCTTGACCAATGAACCATGAAAATTAGGTCAAGATCAACTAACACCTACTCAATAGGCATCACACCTTACAATTATTCCCTACACCAAATTAAAGTTCTTCTTTCCCTATAGCTATAAAAAACCAAATCATTGATAATTTAACTTTGACCAATGAACTATGAAAATGAGGTCAAGGCCAGATGATAATTGCCAGACAGACTTGTACACCTTACAAACATTCCGTACACCAAATACAATTGACTTGATGATTATAGTTATTGAGAGATAGACCAAATCACAAAATTCAACTTTGACCAATGAACCATGCAAATAAGGTCAAGGTCAAGGTCAGACGATTATTGCCAAACATACATATACACTTAACAAAAATTCTATACACCAAATATAATTGACTGGATGCTTATAGTATCTGAGAAATAGAGCAAAACACAAAAATTTAACTTTGACCATTGAACCATGAAAATGAGGTCAATTTCAGATGACGCCTGCCAGTTGGACATGTACACCTTATAATCATTCAATACACAAAATATAATTGACTAAATGTGAATAGTATCTGCCAAATAGACCAAAACACAAAAATTTAACTTTGACCAATGAACCATGAAAATGAGGTCAAGGTCAGATGACACCTGAAAGTTGGACATGTACACTTTACAATCATTCCACACACCAAATAAAGAAGACCTATTGTTTATAGTCACTGAACCATGAACATGAGGTCAAGGTCAAAGGTCATATGACAGAGGGACAGTTTGTAACATAAGTCATAAGGTTTTATTTATTTTTTCTCTGTGTTTTACTGGTTAAATTTCTACCTTATATTTTCTCTTAGCTAAGTGAATAATTCCTTTAATGCAAATTTTTAAAGGTTTTACTGTATACCGCAGGGAATGTAAATACTTATAATTTTCATCATTGTTTTAGTTAATTTTTGGTTGACTGACTGTTATATTCTGATATATTTTTATGGTATTCATTGTGATATATTTCTCCTTTCAATCCTTTTAATTTATATCATTATTTTATTTAATTTCTGTTTCATTCTTATGTTTTTATATATATATATCTATATATATAGACTCTAAATAACAGCCCAACAATGTTAGATCTGTATATTTGCTTTCGCAAATTTTTGTTCTTCCCTCGCCGGGATTCGAACTCATGCTACTGTGATATCGTGACACCAAATCGCCTTGCACTAAATACCGTCCCATCAAACCACTGCGCCACCTCGGCCTATATATGCATTGTTTTCAATTTAGACTTGTTTCTATTTGGATTGTGATATATATTTTTCTTCAATTTAATATGTTAAGTGCTTAGAGTATTATGTTTATTAGATAGGCGCTATATAAAAGTATGTAATTATAAATTATAATCTATATACAAAGTATGAAGTATCCAGGTCATCTATCACAATTTCATTCTTTTTTTACTTATAAGAATTAAAATTGTTTTTTTTTAATAATTGTTACTAAATGAATGAAAGTTATTATTATAACATTTACATCAATCAGTAAAAAATAATACTTATACCATCTGATAATCCATCATTCTCAATATGTGCTGAATCAGTGTCATCACTGTCATCAGATTCCAGAAAAGGAGTCAAATCAAATAATTTTCCTGTAAATATATAATGAATAAGGTTTTCAAAAACTTCATCAGTGCACATATCCAAAACATTACTGGGAAAAACAGGTAATCGATTACATCATTCCATAATATTTGGAATAAAAATTCTTTTCTGGTCCAGTTACATATATATTTCATGTAAATTGGAGACAAGAACAAATAATTAAATGGAGAATGTGTCCATCAGGGACAAAGATAATGCCCCACGTGCATAAATGTTATATTATAAAGGGTCATAACTAGAGAGCAGTTAAAGCGATACCACCCAAATTCAAACTCTGTGTTGAAGGCCATACTTTGACCTGTAATTGTTACATTTTTATATATTTTGACTTGGATGGAGAGTTGTATCATTGGCACATATACCACATCTTCTTATTTATATTAATCTGAGTTTTGTGGTAATATTAAAAATTTTGTATAAGTTTCATAACATTGATTGAGGCAAACTAAAGTTAGAATGGAAACAAGAGGTTGCGCAATTTTCTCATTCATTTTGGGGGCATAACTCAAAAACAGTAAAAGTTACACCACCCAAATTCAAACTTATTCATGTTGATCTTGTGTTTTGTGAGTATAAGCACTGTATACAAGTTTTATAATATTAAGTTAAGGCAAACTAAAGTAAGATAACAGAAACGACTGATTTGGCAATTTGGCCATTAAAAAACGGGCATAACTCAAGAACCGTAAAGTGATGTCAACCAATTGTAAATTTAAACTTGATTTTGAAACTTACTTTTGGAAAAGATCTTAGACAATTTTGCATTTGTCAACATAAAAGAATAATTGTTTTACTCATGTATTATTATTCATATTTTTTTAATTAAATATTTACTGATTTATATGAAAATTGAAATTTTTAGACAGAAATTAAAATCATTCTGTCGAAATTACTTCTAACATCAGTAACAATATGCATTTATAAGAATTAAACCTCAGATTTTTCAAACTGTATGCAGTGCCAGACTTTCTATACTAAGAAAAGCAATTTGTCCATTAAAAAAGGGGCATAACTCAATAAACGTAAAGTGATGTCAACCAAATTCAAACTTGATTTGTGTTTTGTAGTAATATGCATTGTGTATATGTTTCAAATTATTGGTTGATGCAAACTAAAGTTACAGAAGGGAAACAACATATTGTAAATTTTTCCTATAACTCGAGATATAGGAAAAGGAAAATATCAGTAGACCATGACTGATGAGGTAAGGCCAAATAATTAACTTGGAAATAACATGCCAATACTAATTATACAAACTGCATACCAAATATAAATAAGTAAACATTAGCTATAATAATTACCAATGGTCATCTCAACAAAAATGATGTGTTCTTGCTGGAGCCGATATGGCGAAAGTGAGAAAAGCAATCAAGTTCAGATGACCAATGATAATCTGTTAATCGCTATTATGCCCATAACTTCATTGATATCTACCTTAACAATGGCAAGTGTACTCTTTGTTTCTAGCAATAATTTTTCATATCATTCGGCTGTGCAGAGAATGGAAATTGACAATCACTAAGATCAAATGAAAATTTCATAAAAAAGGGATGAAGCTAAATATGATTTATATACCAGACAATTTTTATATTAATTTTATGTATTTCTTGAAGGGTCCTATGTTTAACTAAGGCCTCCGCTGGCATCCTGCCATCCATTTTGGATGAAAAATAAGAAACAAAGCAAACATTTGGTTAGCATTTCATAAGGAACATTATGCTATGCTTGGTTTCATTCCAATTTGTTGTTCTCTAGAAAATAATATTTGAATATATTTCCCCATATTATGTTAAACTAAATTCCCCACCTTTGGCCATCTTGAATGATTAATCAGCTACAAGGTAACAACCCTTGGTCAGCAATTCATTTAAAGAACATGCCATGTTTGGTTTTATTCCATTCAGTGGTTCTCTAGTTCAAACTGTAAAAGGTTAACGGATGATGGAAGACAAGACGCCAAGTGATGAGAAAAAACTCACTTGACCTTTTAAATGATATATTTAACTTACTTGGTGTACTAGTATCAGCTGGAATCCACTCTTTTCCCCCAGTAAAATGCATAGATTCCTCTGCATCTTCTATATTAGAAAAAATATTACAAAATAATTCTATAAAATTGCTCAAACTGGCACTCCAAGGCGGTTGGGGAGCAAGAAGGTGAACTGTGGTTTATTTTTATCGATAGTACAGCTTAAGTGAATCCTGGTCTGTTTGCTCTGATTCTCGTTCGCCCTCGGACCGCGTTCGCTCTTCTTAATGTTCGCCCTAGGTTTGTTATCACTGATTTTGCATAGCATATCGTTTATTATAGGTTTTTGTATTAAGAAATGAATATTAATAAAAAAATATTTTCTTATATATACTCATGGAAAAAAGTAACTGTGCATTGACAAATTACTAATAGAAAAAATATGAATGAGGAAACAAGTAAAAAATTTTAAAAAGAATAAAAACAATATTGACTTACAGAACATCCATTTTTTCTTTCATCATTTTAGTGTGATTTAAAGGATTCTTGATAACACACCCCCCCCCCCCCCCCCCCCCCCCCCCCCCCCATATTCATGTTGATCTTGTGTTTTGTGAGTATAAGCACTGTATACAAGTTTTATAATATTAAGTTAAGGCAAACTAAAGTAAGATAACAGAAACGACTGATTTGGTAATTTGGCCATTAAAAAACGGGCATAACTCAAGAACCGTAAAGTGATGTCAACTAATTGTAAATTTAAACTTGATTTTGAAACTTACTTTTGGAAAAGATCTTAGACAATTTTGCATTTGTCAACATAAAAGAATAATTGTTTTACTCATGTATTATTATTCATATTTTTTTAATTAAATATTTACTGATTTATATGAAAATTGAAATTTTTAGACAGAAATTAAAATCATTCTGTCGAAATTACTTCTAACATCAGTAACAATATGCATTTATAAGAATTAAACCTCAGATTTTTCAAACTGTATGCAGTGCCAGACTTTCTATACTAAGAAAAGCAATTTGTCCATTAAAAAAGGGGCATAACTCAATAAACGTAAAGTGATGTCAACCAAATTCAAACTTGATTTGTGTTTTGTAGTAATATGCATTGTGTATATGTTTCAAATTATTGGTTGATGCAAACTAAAGTTACAGAAGGGAAACAACATATTGTAAATTTTTCCTATAACTCGAGATATAGGAAAAGGAAAATATCAGTAGACCATGACTGATGAGGTAAGGCCAAATAATTAACTTGGAAATAACATGCCAATACTAATTTTACAAACTGCATACCAAATATAAATAAGTAAACATTAGCTATAATAATTACCAATGGTCATCTCAACAAAAATGATGTGTTCTTGCTGGAGCCGATATGGCGAAAGTGAGAAAAGCAATCAAGTTCAGATGACCAATGATAATCTGTTAATCGCTATTATGCCCATAACTTCATTGATATCTACCTTAACAATGGCAAGTGTACTCTTTGTTTCTAGCAATAATTTTTCATATCATTCGGCTGTGCAGAGAATGGAAATTGACAATCACTAAGATCAAATGAAAATTTCATAAAAAAGGGATGAAGCTAAATATGATTTATATACCAGACAATTTTTATATTAATTTTATGTATTTCTTGAAGGGTCCTATGTTTAACTAAGGCCTCCGCTGGCATCCTGCCATCCATTTTGGATGAAAAATAAGAAACAAAGCAAACATTTGGTTAGCATTTCATAAGGAACATTATGCTATGCTTGGTTTCATTCCAATTTGTTGTTCTCTAGAAAATAATATTTGAATATATTTCCCCATATTATGTTAAACTAAATTCCCCACCTTTGGCCATCTTGAATGATTAATCAGCTACAAGGTAACAACCCTTGGTCAGCAATTCATTTAAAGAACATGCCATGTTTGGTTTTATTCCATTCAGTGGTTCTCTAGTTCAAACTGTAAAAGGTTAACGGATGATGGAAGACAAGACGCCAAGTGATGAGAAAAAACTCACTTGACCTTTTAAATGATATATTTAACTTACTTGGTGTACTAGTATCAGCTGGAATCCACTCTTTTCCCCCAGTAAAATGCATAGATTCCTCTGCATCTTCTATATTAGAAAAAATATTACAAAATAATTCTATAAAATTGCTCAAACTGGCACTCCAAGGCGGTTGGGGAGCAAGAAGGTGAACTGTGGTTTATTTTTATCGATAGTACAGCTTAAGTGAATCCTGGTCTGTTTGCTCTGATTCTCGTTCGCCCTCGGACCGCGTTCGCTCTTCTTCATGTTCGCCCTAGGTTTGTTATCACTGATTTTGCATAGCATATCGTTTATTATAGGTTTTTGTATTAAGAAATGAATATTAATAAAAAAATATTTTCTTATATATACTCATGGAAAAAAGTAACTGTGCATTGACAAATTACTAATAGAAAAAATATGAATGAGGAAACAAGTAAAAAATTTTAAAAAGAATAAAAACAATATTGACTTACAGAACATCCATTTTTTCTTTCATCATTTTAGTGTGATTTAAAGGATTCTTGATAACACTCCCCCCCCCCCCCACACCCCCACTACTTTTCATGTTAATTGATCTGATGACAAAAACGAAGATTTTTCCTCCGTTTTTTGGCCTGGAACGGCTGCATTTTGGCAATGAAGTCAAGGAAAACACATTTGTTTGAACGAATCTTAAAATTTAAACTTTTAAGGGACCGATGAAAATCGCAATATGAGTAGATACTGACAATGCATGTGTAAATCGTAAATCTCATGTTTAAAGGGATTTCCTGTGCTCATTTCGGTATTGATAATGAAAGACAAGATTCTGAAACAAAAGACTAGCAACGCAAAATAGTCAGATATGCATGCTCAATCATGCATTACGTCAATAGAGTGGCAGACAAAAATGACGTCAGAAGAACAAAGGGACGTAATCCAACATTTTTTAAAGGGTCAGGGGGCATCTCGTGGCATTGGCCATTTTTTCTAAACCTTAATTGATTGATTACAGAGCGTGAATTTTTCTAACCAAATAGGCATGAAAAGAAGAAAAAGGGGGGTTCTCTGGAAGGACTTTACTTCTCGATCTTTAGATGACCTAAAAGACAAAACAATCTCTGAATATCAATAGAATTATCACATAAGGTCTTAATTGTGCTGGTTTTATTTGTCTTGTAAGTCTTTGAAAGAACATTTAAGGGATTCAAAATTACTCGGTATTTTTTGTGTGCACAGTTTCTTTTTTCCATTAGTATATGATAACTAAGTTATTGGTTGTTGGAAATTTCGCCGGACTATATAATATATCTTGTTTTGCTGTATATTTTTCTATTATTTAATTTATCTGCAGGTTATGTTCATCGGTCTGATACAATTTTATTGCATTCTCTTTAACTCTTATTGTTTTTCATGTAAATAATTATCTTATACGTTTGTGCTTTGTGAGTTTTTTCCCTTCATAAATTTGTCTTACTGTTTTGCGACTTAAAAATTAATCACAAAGTATTGATAAGTTGAGACCATCGGACCAAGGTTCATCCAGTATAACTGTTCATGATGCTAGTAGAATTATATATATATTTTTTTTATCAAATATTTACTGATTTATATGAAAATTGAAATTTTTAGACAGAAATTAAAAACATTCTGTTGAAATTACTTCTAACATCAGTAACAATATATGCATTTATAAGAATTAAACCTCAGGTTTGTCAAACTGTATGCAGTGCCAGACTTTCTATACTAAGAAAAGTATGTGCTGCATGTTGATAAAATAAATGTAATTCATTTGATAAAAAAACATATACAATCTAACAAGCTTCAAAATCAAAAATGTTTAAATAAAATTTGTTTTTGGTATAATAATCGGTATTTATGAACAAATCATATCGTATAATGGCAATTTTGGCATCCATTAACCTAGAG